TTTCCTCCCTGTGCTTCCTTCTGTGTATTAGGTAGATGTCCTGTGTCTCTCAGTCTTTCGCCTTATGTAGTGTATGTCCTGTGTGGTTCAATGGCACAGTAACCCTAATCCTTTGTGTGTGTGTTCTAAGTTTCCCTTGACTATGTTGTGTGTATTCTCCTGTTGTAGTTTAGCCTTGATTGTTTTTGGCACATCAGTGGGTGGAATTGACTACCAGGCTGGCTGACTGTGATGATTAGCTACGCCCATAGTGTATGAGCTGCTGTGTCGGGGCTGACCCCACAGAGGAGGCTTCACCCATGTGGCTTCTTGTGCCTGTTGAGATCCCTTTGGGTGTGCTGCTTGTGGAACTAATAGGGCAGTGCTCTGGTGTGGTCTGAAGCTGGCCTCTGGGTGTGTTGTTTCTGGTATCTCTTGGGAGGGGATCCTGTGCAGGGTAATTTCAGCCTTGCCTGTTACAGGCCTAGGGCTACTTGGTAGGAGCTACAAAGCTATATTTGGTTGGCTTCTGCCTGTGCTGGACCTGGAGGCCTGTGAGGGTGGCCTCTCTGTTAACCAAATCCAGCTGCCACCAGTATGGGGCCTGAGGCAGCTTAGCAAAAGGCTCAGGGCTCCCTAGGCCTATTGCCACCTGCTGGCTGCCTGGAAGGCTCAGCCGTTGAAAGAGGCTCCTTAGGTGCAGGGCCAGGCTGGCTGACCCAGTGTTGAGAGTACCCCTGGTGATGCAGCACGAGGTGGGCGGGGTTCCAGGGCGTCATGAGACATGGCTGGTGGTTTTTACAAAGTTAATGCAGATTCAGTTTTTGCATCAACACCCGGCCTGTGACCACTTTGCAAGGCGACCTTAGTACCCTGCAGCCAGCTGCCACTTACCTGGGGCTTGCACATGCCTGTAAGCTGCCCCAAAGAGACTGCGGAGCAGGTTTTGGGTCACTGCCCCCCACCAAAAGCCTTCTGGGCAGCCACACTCTGTCTGCTGCTGTTAAATGCTTCCACGGCTTGGGAGGCAGGGCTAGCCACCCAGGCGCTGACAGTGTCCCTGGAAATGCAGCTCTCTGTGGGCTGGCTGGTTCCAGGGAGCTACAGGGTGTGAGTGGTGGTTTTTACAGTTAATACAGTTTCGGTTCTTGCACTGGTGCCAGCCCCATGATCACTTTGCAAAAATGTCCTGAGGACACCGAGGCTAGCCACTGCTCACCTCAGGCCTGCAGATCCCCGAGAGCTGCCCCAGAGTGGCTACAGTGCATGTTTTAGGTCACTGCCTACCACCAAAATTTCTTCAGGCTGGCCATTCACTGCTGTAAAAGGCTTCCGCCGCTCAATAGCTGAGAGTGCCCCGGGTGATGCAGTGCTAGCTGTGTGGGATGAGGACCCATGGCGTCACCAAGGTGGTGCACGTATGTGGATTTTACCAGACCAATGCGGTCTCAGATTTGGCCCTTTGGGGGAGGGTTCGACATAGAAAATATGGCACCCTCTTGTAGGTTACATGTGAGTTAGGATCCCATAGGATATCACAAGGATAATGGCTCCTATCCCTCCAGTCCTTGCCCCAAAGAAATGCAACTCAGTCTTTCCCCGTATGTCTGTGGTGCCTCTTGAGTTGCTGCCGCTTCACCAGAGACCAGATCAGTGTTTGCAAGCTAGTGAGTCCGTGTGCAGATCCTTTAAGAGGATGTCTGGGTTTCCAGCCACCTTTTGTCTCACCGGGATGGACAGACAGTGTCCTCGCTGATTTTCACTGCCAGATGTTGTGGGGGACTCTTATTCCTGGCACAGGATCTCTTGGGCTTGGGATCCCAGCATGGGGCTGAGGGGCCCCTCACTCTTCCGGGGCCACCTCTACCACCGAGGTGTCCCTCCCAGTGTTCAACCACTACCTGTGGGTTTGGGGTCAGCCCGTTTTGCATCTCTGCCCCTCCTCTAAAGTCTCAATGTGGCCTCTTCTTTATGTCCTTAGTTATT